ACACCTCCCCCCCACCCCACCGTGTTGTCCCCTCACAAAGACTAGCGAACTCTCGCATTCACAGCAAAATCACTCGCAAGGACAAAGTTTCGTGCAGTCTGTAGAGTTTCAAAAACTAACACGAATGTATTACAATACGACGCTAAAGCGCAGAACATTAGAGTGCTTATTCTGAAGATTCATGTGGTTGGCACGTCTGCCAAATTTTCTTTGGATATTTGCCGAAAAAATACAGTAATTCCTCGACGCCGTTCGCTGGAACGAACTATAGTTAGTATAACAGAATTTTCAGGGAGTCACACGGACCTCAAATCAGAGAGTCCGACAGTAAATCAGGGAGTATTTGACTCTTGAATCTCGCTGTGTCTGTGATGTTCTTTGGGGTGGGGAAGTCAGCGATAGCTTGTAGGTGTTTCTTGCAAGGTCGAACACTGTCAAGTGTAACCTCGAATCCAACAAATCCAACTATGTCCAGCCAGCGACAAGCTTGAAAACAGCTTTCCTCAATATCATCTGCACACAGGAGCGCATCATGACAATACATTTTGTCTTATTTGGCCCCTCAGTGACAATGTCGCCGAACCGCCTTGTGTAGCCATCTCCGGAAGCAATGTATCCCCCCTGTCTGCATATATCCATATGCAGTGCCTGTATGCAGTACCATAGATATCTGTACCTGTCCCAAGGAGTGATCCTAACAACCAGTCACTGATTTTACTAGCGAGTCATTGCCACTCGGTACACCAACAATGGCTACTACTCCCAACCAACAGCAACCATAAGTGCATCCACCTGCCACATTAATTACTACATTGGTCAAGACACCGAGACGCTCTGATCGGAGCAAATCTAAACCTGTCTGGCTAAATCAGTAAATGACAATGTTCACACACTTGGGGCAGAATAATCGCCGGGCTGGAAGGCAGTCTAACCGATGATACCCCATCACGTGTTGATACATGTTTCTATACCAACAAAAATAACATGCACTCATGAAACTCTTGTATGCGTAATCATGTGTAACAAAAAGTCAAAACTGCTAATTGACAGTAGACATTCATGTTTGATATATCGGTAGTATACCCTAATTAAACTCTTAATCCGTCTTTGTTATACCTTCTGAAAGACCTAGCTACTATAATAACTTGGGGAGAGAGAATAATATGTACTGTGAGTGCATGTGACTGTACCAGTTCACTTCAGTTTGTTTCAACACATGTTCTGTGCTTCAGATAAAAAAAAAATTAGCATCATGTTGTGTACGTGTTACAGACCTCCATCATTTCTAATTTCGTCCTGGTATGATTAAAGCGATATCTGAAAACAGTACCGGTATTCCATACTTATTTTAATTTTAGAATACAATACATCAGGGCTCTCAAGGGGTAGCTTTAATGAAAGTGTCAATGACACTGTAGCTCACCACAAAAAAGGACACAAATGAGTGAGGACCTCCATTTTTAGCTACCTTTGACATCGTGCAAGCCTGAAGGCTATTTGGCATGGGGTCGTCGTTCGTCCGTACTTCCCGTATGCTCCCGTCCCGCCCCCCCCCGTCTCGTCGATCATTCGCTACCGGTAACCTGATGAACTCAGGAACGCTGTTTGGCTCACATGTTTGAAATTGGGTATCACGTCTGTTACTGTCGCATCGCTCATTGGAACGCTCTAATTTTGATAGCCACGAGCCAGTCACCGTACTTTCGGACTCACGTAAATTTTTGGAAAAACACTGGGAATGCATGGCATTAGTCCAGTTTAGGTTCAACCGATTTTGCTCATTGTTTGGCTATGGCACATGAATAAGGGCTAGGGTTTGGATAGTTAAAAAAAAAACTTATGCAAATTAGGTAAGGGGTTCTGGCCAATTATATAAGGGGATATTATATAGCAGCAAACCACGTCCGTGTTGGCTCTACGCACCATCCCGTCTGTTCGTCTTTTAGCGAAGATTTAAATTGCGCAAATATCCTTTGACACTCGCAAAATGTGGTATTTCGCTCTCCACCCTGCAGATAAAACGTCTGAATTAGAGTAAAGTTGTACAAAACATGTCGGAAACGCAGCATAACCTATTTATTTCAAAACACATCGCTACAACAAAGCGGTAAGCGCGGCCATCTACGGTGCACAAATGTGAATTTCATTTTGGTTATAAATTATATTGCGATATATCAGATGGCAATTCGTTCTTATAAGTGTACGTCGATTGGTTGCTCATTAATACTGACTTTGTCTTACTCACTCATTTGTGTCCTTTTTTGTGGTGAGGGCTACAGGTGTCATTGATCACTTTCATTTAAAAATTTCTCTCCCTCCACCGCACCACCCCTGTCCCCCCCCCCCCCCCCCCCACCCCCCCCCCCGGCCCCCGCCCCCCCCCCCCCTCCCCCCCCCGCTGCCACTCTCACCCAGACCCCGCCACCCGCCCCCCCACGCCCCCCCCCGCGCGCACACCGACGGCTAAGCTTCCCCCTTAGATTTTCTGAATTCAAAATAATATCTCCATCATATAGCTCACTTTGACATCGTCAGGCTGAGCTTAATTGCTATGGGTCTCGTCCCGTACGTCCGTCGTCCATCGCGTCGTCCGGTCAACTATTTGGCTAGCGGTCAACGATAACCTCAGGAGCTCGTTTGACCCACAGTGTTTTGAAATTGGGTATAGTTGTTACATGCTCATGCTGCCCATATTAGAACGTCCTATTTTGGAAAGCACACCAAGTCGACGTATCTTTCGAGCCACGCAATTTTTTGGTAAAAATGGGAATTGCCAATTAGTCATCAGGTTCAACGGGATTTTTGCTCATATTTGTGGTATGTGTAATGAATAAGTGGGCTAGAGATAACGGTCTAGATATTCCAAGATATCGAGTCAGATATTACAAATTTTCAAATGATTTCAAATATTTTTCAGATTTATTCATTTTCAAAAAAATTTTCAATATTCAAATTTCAATCAGATATTCCAACAAAAAATTATGCAAGATTATGCTAGGGTTTGGGCAATTATATAGCATATTAGTATAGACACGCAGAATAACAAACAGTTGTGGTGTCACACATCGTCCTGGTTGCGTTTTACAAGATTTCATTGACAATACTTAATGCAAAATTCCTAGCTATGAACATATTATATTTATACTTATTATTATTTATATATTATCTATTCTGATATAATGATGTTATGCTAAAAATATCAACAGCGGGTCATACGCCATCTACTCGCGTCACAATTGTGATTCATTTTGGTTTATAAACTATTTGATAATTTTATAATATCTATAATTATTATTTATTATTTCACATAAAAATGACAGCTATTAATTATCAAGAGTATTATAATGGGAGTTCTCCATATATACTCTTCGTTTCTCCGTAGTAATGATACGTGAGGTCTGCTCAAATTAAAACTGAATTTATC